ATGAGACATCTGTTTCCAAGCCCAGAAATACAAGTCTCAGTGGCATCTGTAAGTCCACACATTATCTACTGCTCTAAGTCCTGGTCCCAATTCAAGAATATATTATAATTCTTTTACCTAGTTACTTAGTTCTGCCTTTATATATCTACAAACAGTACTTCTCTATCCAGCTCACAAAAATACAGTATTAAAATACAGTATAAACAATACAAACTAGAACCCAGTTAAAAACAGATTAAAATATATAAATTATATCAAAGGTATGGGTCAAAGAAAAGGTTTTTACTTGATGCCAGAAAGACAGCAAAGATGGTACCTATCTGGAAAATTAATTTCATAAACTGCAGTGCCACTACTGAAAAGGACTTTTCCCTCATAGTGACCTACTTAATCTCATTTTATGGTGACACCAGAGCAGGGCCTTTGAAAAAGACCTTAAATTTCAAATACTAAAGATGTAGAAGGCAGTGTTGCAAGTAACTAGGTCTGAAGCCATTCACATCTTTAAAGCAGGGTAGGGGAACTATGGTCCCATGGGTAGAATATGATCCATGGGGAATCCTCATCCTTGAAGGTCTTTACCAAGCACCAAATTCTTCCCACTGCCCTCTGTCATGTACTCCCTTAATTTGAACAGCTTTTAACTCAAATCAGAAGCTGATCAGAGAAAAGAAAGTTTCAGTGGTAATTAAGAATCCAGAATGGGTTGTAGATAACGAAATTATTTATAAACATCCCAAAGAAAGGCCTTTGGGTAAGAAATGATGGAAAGTTCAAACACAGGCTTAGCTAGAATTAGGAATTCAGAGTCCCCACAATTTGGTTGCAAAATAGGATTTAAAATGGAGAACATTAAAAACAGAACCTCTGCTTAGTACCTTCTACCTTGAGGAAACTAACAAACACAGCTAGAAGCAAGGGAGCTGGAAGAGGAAGCAAGGAAATGAATTTCACTAAAAAGTTATGAAAGCGAGGCTAATTAAATGGTTAAAATTTACAAGAGCCCTCTTAGTAACCTGCAGACAACATCCCAAACCTCTTGCTTGACCAACACATTCAGATCCAGATCCTTCAGTTCATATAGGTGATAACGGCTCCTGCAAGGCACCAAAGGGATACACAAGGAAGTCACAGGGGGCTGCATCTGGGATGATATCAAGCTCTTGATTCAGGGGATATTTCACCAGGGAGTAAAGTTCTATCTAGATTCACAAGACTGTATCATCCTCTCTAGGAGCATAAAGCAACAAAGGCAGTTCAAGCTGAGGGCAGAGAACTGCAATCCTGAAAATATGAGCCAGTTGCCAGATTAAAGTGAGAAAACTGTTAGGGGAAAATCATAAGGAGCAGGGTTGAAAGACAAGCAAAGCTGAGGAGATTTGAGAGGTATATACAGCAGGTATATTCACACAGTATGAAGAAATACATATACACTAAAATCAAGGGTAAGTATAAACTTGAAAAGAAGGATTACAAAGGGTACAATGGCTGTGGGGCTAGCCTTGGAATGGTGGTAGAAGAAAGAGATCGATCGCTTGAATCTGGGAAATAATGGTACTTGATTAAGCTAAACGTAGCTGATTGAAAAAGCGATTCAACTGAGAAACAGTTGAAGAATGGAAGAGATGAGAAGGGGACAGCAATGAGTGATGATTAGATGCTGCACAGCAGTCAGCCTATGAGATAAAATAGCAAGGATTCACATGGATTGCCAAGGGAAGGAATGGGCCAAAAGGGCTGGTTGATCCAAGCAGGGTCTGGTGTCTTGGTCTGCACTTTACCTGATTAACCCAGATGTTCATGGGGGGGGGGGGGGGGTCCCTACAGAGATTCAAATAAGAATGGTGCTGCATATAAAGCATGTCTCACATGGCAGTAAGGCGTTTACAAACCTGACTTCAGTGAAAGATTAGGAAAATTTCGGAAGTGTGTAGTTCTGGCAAGGGCTGGACTAACCCATGCCTGCCCATGTAAATGCCCCCATGCTGCAGCCAGGCTTTAATGCATGTCCTTTTGAAAAACCTCCCTGCAGTGTGGAAGGGAAGATGAGAAATCCCTTCTCTTAAATCTTTGATTGGAGATAAGCCAGCAGGGGAGCTGGATGAGGTTCTCCTGGGCAGTGTAGGTTCCTCTCCCTGTCCTAGTACCTTTGATGTTGCAGATAGGACTCCTGAGACAATAAATGCCCATCCCATGATGAATTGTTTTAAAGCTGCACTAAAAATCAACTTTGCAGGCCCACTTTCTGCTTGTGAAATTGAGGTGTCATTTGCAAAGCAATTCTCTGAGCGAGGAAATATTCTTACTATAGTGTGTGTGGGGGGTGTTACTTTAACAAGGGGCAGAGCAGCTTGTGTGTCCATTCTGCCACTCTTTTCAGTGCTGGTCCTCCATCCAGATCCTGCAGGCAACCATATTCCTCTCACTGCCTGGGAAGTGATGCTTCATGAGGACAAAGAATGCTGACGATGAACCCAGCTTCTAGCATTATGGGAGAGAACAAAAAATGTGTCCTGATCATCTGTTGTTTTCCTGCTTTTTGGTATTTTCTGCTTGTATGTTTTCCTCTGCCCTCCTGATTCGAACATAGATTGCATATAGCAGCAATGTATCTGAAACCCAATTTAATTGTGTATGGAATTGCCTTGTAAATTGACTTTTCTGCTGAGGGGTGTCTTTTTCAGTGTATGATCATGTGGGCAATGAAAGTTTTCCACCAATTTCTGGAAAAAAACATTGCTGCTTACTTCGGAATGAATGTCAGGTGTGTCCTTGCGGCAAAGCTGTAAGAACAGTTTGCTGTAATAATGCTTACGCCTTGACAAAGTGGCTTAATTTCCTGTGTGGAATAATGGCGTAGTGGAACAATGTCTGTAGGATGCTAGCATTGTAGGGAATGTTTTTATATATAGTAAAATGTTGAAGCTGTTGGTGAAGCATGCCACCATTAAAAAGATTGTAGAATAGTAGAGTTGGAAGGGGTCAAGAAGGCCATCAGGTCCAAACCCCTGCTGTTGCAGGACATCAGTTTAAACCATCCTACTCAGATGGCCGTCCAGTTTCTTTCTGAATGTCTGTAGTGTGGGAGAACCCACAACCTCTCTAGGCAACTAGCTCTACTGTTGTAATGCTTTGACAGTGTGCAAACCTTTCCTGATAATCTAGTCTGAATCTGGTGTCACAACTTTAGTTGATTATTCCATGTCCTGCAGTCTGGTATGAGCAAGAAGAGATCTTGATCTTTCTCTTTGTAACAGCCTCTGAAGCACTTATACAGTGATATCATGTCCCTCCTTAGTCTTCTCTTCTGAAGGCTGAGCATGCCCAGTTCTCTCAGTCTCTCCTCATAGGACAGTGTTTCCTTACCCTGGATCATTTTTGTTGCTCTCCTCTGGACCTCCCCCCACCCACTCTTTCAACACAGTATTCTATATGAGGTCTGATGGAAGGATCAAAATTTATTCTACACTGCAAAATCAAGATCCATAAAAAGTACAGTGGTACCTTGGCTCATGAACTTAAATCCATTTCAGGACTCTGGTCATGACCCAAATGGGTCATGAGCCAAGTTAAATTTTCCTATAAGGTTCAATGTAAATAAGGTTAATAGTTCTGTAACTATTTTTTTTTTTTAATCAGGAAAATGTGAAGCAAAGTGACAAAGAACAACAAAGATCGCAGCTATGTCTCCCCCCACCCCAAGCATGAGTGCAGTCATCTCCCCGCCCCCCTCCCTGCATGACTGTGATAGAGCCCGTCATCCCTGCACACGCCTGTCATCCCAGCACGCTGTAGAGGGGGGGAGGAGATGGGCGCGAATGTGGACACATGGGGGGGAGATGGCCAAGATTGCAGTTGCGCTCATCCAGGAAAGACAGGCGCGATCTTGGCCATCTGCCCCCCTTGCACCCAGCATGATCGTGGCCATCTCCGCACTCGGGGGAGTGCGTGATCACGGTCGCCACCCAATGTGGAGTTTGCAACTTGAGTCAAAATTTTTATGAAATTTTTGTTCGCAACCCGATTTGGTCATGAACTGAGGCATTCATGAGCGGAGGTACCACTGTGTAACTGGTAATCTGGAATTTGTAAAATACATCAGGCCATATCCTTGCATTTACAATGTTGCCAAATGCAGTTTAGCCACATGTTAACTGGATCCTTTAACTTGTCCTTTCATGAAGTTTTGAATGGTTGACATTTAGATGATAATTCAAAGAGGTTACTCTGATTAGGAATAAGCGTGAAACAGAATTTTGTGATATGGATGCTACTTCTTCATACTGTGCTTGACTAAAGAATATGAGTCCCCGTTTTGCCTTGTTTGGCCTAGAAAACCGCTGTTACAAGCTTATTCGCTACACTAGAAGTGCTATTACAGATTATTTATTGGTAATCTGTGCATGGTAGTATTTCATGACAAACCTATTTCTTCCTGATAGATGAATCCACATGTGCAAAAACAGTATTCAGCTGTGTCTGTCTGCCAGCAGAATGAACCGTTCCAGTGGAGAGGATTTACCTTCCCCAGCAGCCTTCCAAAGCTGTTCTAGAGGGTTGGGAGATGCTCTGAAGGAGATTTGGTAAAGTGTAGGGAAGTTGCAGGAGGGGGACATGAATATCTTGGATATCGACCTATAAGAGATGAGACTGCTACTTTTACTGCACCACAGTAGCTTTCACAGCATCTCATTCCTGGAACTAAGGTTGGCCTCCATTTTGGACAAACCAGATGTCTAAACTGCCGGCCTTCATGGGTTGGATGGAGCTGAAACATAAGTTGGGTGGTTTCTTTCTCTTCCACTAACAGCAGAATGCATGTTCCTGACATGGTATTACTCTATTACCATGGAAATATAGGGCATTTACCTGTGTAGCAACTCTTTTCTAAACTCTCTAGCAAAGCACTGAGTAATATATTGCAGCATTGGATTCAGGAATCTAAGTAATGTGCTTGGATTTTGTGCTGCTTAGCTTATGAATATGGTTTTATTTTCCAGTATTCAGTAACATCCCTCAAGACTATCCCAGAATTACGTAGGAAGTGCGAGTCACAAAATGAAGACAGAACAGGTATGCTCTTTGCTCGTGGTCTGGTCTGCCATCCTCACTTTTATATGCCATTGTTGTTCGGTTGAGCACAATAGCAGATTTTTAACTTTCCAGCTTCATCATTGTGTGATAACGTCCTAGTAACAATGAGTCTCCCACCCTCACTGTTTTTTCCGCTGCATTTTTTCCTCCTTAAGATGTTAGGTCATTAGCAACAGCAGCAACAAAAAGTTCCATAAAAGGATCTGGTGGTATACAGATAAAGGCAGGGTTTAATTTCAGCAGCTCCAAACCACAGTATATGCAACAATTTACTGAAAAACCCGAGAAACCATTAGTGACAAGACATAATGATGTAGGCGCCAATGAAAAAATGTTGGATACATTTACTACCCATATGGTCATGACCAGTTTGAGGCATGATGTTTTGCCAAATTCTGAAATTCTGTCAAGGATGCTACAAGATAGAATCTACTCTCAGGCATACTGTAACAGTTAAGATGAAAGCGATGTTTTGGAGTTTAATAGTGTAAACTAAATGAAGAGTCATGGCACACAGATGAGAACCAGCTGGAGACCTTTCCCCCCCTACTGACAAAAAGTGCGTTCAGTGTTGTTTTTCACTTTGTAAATCGGATTAAGGCTCTTTTGTTTCTGTTTTCAGTGTGGAGCAAATTGTACTGGTGAGAATAACATAGCTCCATTGCATTTCAAAAATTTATTATGCTTGTATCAAATGGTTGTTTCATTAATACTTTTGAATCTGAAATGCCTTTAATAGACATTTGAAGCAGATCTTAAGATCCATGTCAGCCTTTGGCAAGTATTTGATTTCTGTATCATCTTACACATAGCAGAAAATTACCATTGCTTATAACTGAGCTATAGCATTCTCCTGCCACAGTCATTAATGACTAAATTGCCACATCCCCTTACTCAGTCACACAGGGGAATAAAGGGGAAATAATATCCTTCTCCCTTCTCATCTCTGAGTCTCCCTACCCATATTTTATTTCTGGCAATAGTGAGGAAAGTATTGTTCCTGCGCATCCTGGTGCAAGAGAATAAGCAGAAGTTGCAGGGAACTAAAGCAGTTTCATTGATTTTTTTAGTCAGCAACTATGATTAAATTAAAGAGTTAAACTGATGTAGAAGAAAGAAGTGTTGCCACCATTCTCTCTCTCTCTCTCTCTCTCTCTCTCTCTCTCTCTCTCTCTCTCTCTCTCTCTCTCACACACACACACACACACACACACACACACACACAATTTAACCTTACACATTTCTGATTTCTATCTATAGGTTTGAATACTAGTTAGGGTGAGAACATACTAAACTGTGACCCAAGGATGCAGATCAGAGCTGGGTGAGCCACTTGGCACTTTGTCTCACAAACAGACCAACTAACTTCCTAAATTATTGGGAAATAACATAAGTCTGAGCCAATATGAATTGATCTTGGTCTAGCCACCACCCTCCAGTTAGCTTCCACCCATTCAATCCAGACGACCAAATTCTTCTTCCTTCCCTTCCCTTCCCTTCCCTTTAAAAACATGGCCTTGGCTTGCAAGAGTGGCAGCAGCACATCAGTGGTGGCAAAGAGCCCCGGCGAATGAAGGAGGTCTCTGCCTCTGTGCTCTTTTTGGAGCGTGGCGCATTGTGTAGCAGCTTGCCTGGAGGCTGTAAGAAATGTAATTTTCCAAACTGACATTGCAGTAGGCTTTGGGAAAGCTACATTCACAAAGGGCTGCTGGGGCCTTGATATGTGTCCCTCTCAGCACAGTACTTTTACCAGGCAAGAAACTGGTACTGGATGGAAAAGAGGGGATTTTGAGGAGGGGGGCTTAGGGAGGAAATTTGGAGGTTGGGAGGCTGACTTTTAATTCAAGTCAGATTGCCTTACATGTGTAACTCTTTGTTATATTCGTTGTCGTTCTCTGCTATCTATTCTGTCTACAAATGCTATGCACAAACATTGTTCTCCTGTTTAGGGGTCCTTTCTCTTTCCTAGAGCAATCTCAATCAATCAGTGTTCACAGCAGCTTTACACCGCATATTTAAACAGATTTAGTTATCCCTTGGCATCAGTGAGAACAACTGAAACCCATTCAGAGAATACCTTATACAGTATTGTGTGCCTTATTGAAGAAATCATCAAAATTGGAGCGCTTTTTGAAGCTGTCAAGATTTTTTCTAAAAAACAAAAAATCATCCCATATTTGCAGCTCAAGAGAGTCCCATAAACACACTTTATATAGTTTTCCCTACATGACTTAACAAATGCACTGTGGGGAAGGGCGCAGCCATACCTGCTGTCCCCTCATGGGTGTGGCTCCTGCCAACCCAATCCATGCCTTTACCAGGTTCAGATCAAAAAAGTAACAATGGCAGTTTCCATTCAAGCTGCCCTTTGAGGAGGGGCAAAATGAGCTGAGACTTAAAACTGTCTGGTATTATTTCCTGATGAAAAGCGCATAACTTTAGTGATTGACTCAGTAGAAGAGCACCTGCTTTGGACACAGAAGGTCCCAAGTTCCTGCTCGAAACCCTGGTGTGTGGCTGCCAGTCAGTGTCAACAATCCTGAGCTAGATGCTGATCTGTATAAGGCAACTTCCTATGTTCCCATGTTTCAACCTTTCCTAAAGCATTTCCCCATCCCATGATGGTAGAACAAGTTTTATTGATTGATTGATTTTTATCATGCCTTTTTCCTACAAAGGGCTCAAGGCAGCTTACATCATTATCCTCCTTCATCTTATCCCCACAACAACAACCCTGTGAGGTAGGTTGGGCTGAGAGTCTGTGACTGGTCCAAAGTCACTCAGTTGGCTCCATGGCTGAGCGGGATCCAGCCATCCAGCGGGACCCAGATCGTCTGAGTCCCAGTCCCATGCTCTTAACCACTACACCACACTGGCTCTTAAGTTGCTTTCATAGTCCCAAGAACACTGTACAAGAAGTAGAAAGAAGGAAAATTACGCAAATAAACAGGAAAAGGTGGTGACTCTGACACCTCAAACTCTAACTCTTTGATAATATATATTGAATATGAGTGATAAGATTGAGAAGAATTAGTCATGCTAGATCAGGGTAAATATTTTTTTTCTCTTTCATAATTTGTATGTTCAAATTTACATCTAGCTGCTCATTTTGGGTTTCTTCACAGGAACAAGATCAGACTGAAAGCTTTTTTTAGTTAACACTAGCTTTTTCAAAACTATAATAACATTTTGCTTTGGATGAGTTCAACACTTAATTGCAGGTTCAGGGTTCCTGAAGAACAATTACATCTTTGTGGGTTTTCATTCCTTGGAAAATAGACAGCAGGACACCCCCCCCACCTGCCCTTGTTTTTAAAAAATGGACATTAGTTCCATGTGAGCAGCCCAAACAAATAGGGAGAGGACAGACATTAAGATAGGTCCACTTTGGGAAGCCCCTGTACCTTGAAGTACTTTGTGATAAGGAGAAATCCTTAAGACAAAGTTTCTGGAAGCATGGTGTTGCAGCTTTGGGGAAAGCTTAACCAAATGAGTTCTTTTTCCCTGCTAAGCTGTTGGAGGAACTGGGAGCTTTGGTGGCTCAGTTACAGTAGCAAGTGAGGACAAGAGGAGGATTGTGGTCAAGGAACAATGGCAGAGCAATGCCTCATCGTACAGATAAACCCTGCAAGTAGAAAGAAATTATATAGGCAAAGGAATGTGAGTGGTGCCTGTTCATACAAAAAGGAAGTGAAACAAGCCAAGGGCCAATGAGATTGTTTAGGCCTGAGAGATTCATGGTTTGTAAAACAGAAACAGCCGTGCAGAAAGCAAGGCACCAGCCCTCCCAGAAAGGCCTCTTGCATAGCTGGAGTTTAAGTCAAATTATAACTCTTCCTTATATTGGCATACTCATAAAGCTCACTGGATGACTTAAGCAAGTCATCAATTATCATCAATTACTGCTTTTGTGAATGGTCACTGTGCTCATTTTACATACATTTAAGCTTTAACATAATTGTCAATGACTGTATTTTTTGCATTTCATTATCATCAAATTTCACTGCTTTCTTTTTTTCTCTATCTCCATCTGTATAATTTACCTGCCAACTGAGGATAACTGTTCATCTGAGGAAGTGGACTCTAGCCCATGAAAGCTTAGGACTTAATAAATGGGTTAGTCTTTAAGAAGCCACAATATTTATTTTATGTTAATCACTATCCTTTAGCATAGTCTACTTCATATGTTTGCTGAAAAAATAAATCAAGTTAATGATATATTGTAATTCCACACTAACAAGAAATGAAATCTAAATAAAGCAAATAAAACAAAGAAATAACTGAACACATTCAGTTGAATCCTGACTTAGACTTGCTTATAGTAGACCCATTGAAATAAATGGGACAAGTTAGTCATAACTAACTTAAGTTTCATTGATTTCAGTGGGCTTGCTCTAAGCAAGATTAAGACAGGATATAATCCATTAAATGTTCCAGCTGTACAAATTTAAGTTTCTTTTGTGCCTGAGCAGATCAATATTTTATATTAATTCTGAATCTAAAGCATAGACTGTAGCTTAGAACTGATAGATCAATCAATACTGTAAATATTACAGTTTGTCTCCAAATTATTACATTTTTCTTCAGGGAAAATGTCACGGGAAGAAAGTGGATTTTCTTAGTTTCCTTCAAGGTATATAGAAACTTTGTGCCTTCAGCTAAGGATAGTGACATTCTCATGCTTGCCATGGCAGGCAGTACTAAACCAGAAGTCATTTGTTTAGTCCCAACATACATTTTAGATTTATACTAGGAAATGAAAAACTCATTCCTCCTAAAAAAGCAAATAATAGTACCAGGAATGATTAATTAATTGTTGATACCTTGTCGGTGTCTAAAGAATTGTTTTCCAAGGACTTGGGCAGAATTCATTTGCTATGCTAAGTCTTAATATCCCTGTCAGAATAAAACAGCTGGGAAACATGTGGCATCCATTTCCCTTTATCACTTAGGGGAAAAAATGCACATGTAAATAAAACTGACATAAAAGTGTCACCCTTTGAACCCAGGATCATATACAATATGTAAATAAATCCATGCAATTATAGTTTTTTTCATAATGAACATCTCATGCTGCATGTTGTTTTTGGAATAATAAATGATTATCTGAATAATATCATTCCAAAGCTTCTGAAGGTATCCAAGTAATAAGTCAAAATACTTTTCTGATTCTTTAAAAATGTATTCTTTTTACTATTGTGATAACAGTGTTAGTACAGCTGCTTCTGTTAACTTTTTGTCTTAGAAACTCTGGACTGGAGTACAAGATAAATGCAACTGAGGCATTACATTTAGTTCATGCAATAAACTGAACTGTGTCTCTTGAAGTCTATGCATGATACTCTTCTGTGTTAGATGTGACCTGCAGAATTAAGCAGACGGTTTTGTCAGTTTCCTCCTTCTAAATGCAGTAAATGTTTGACAATATCAGCTTATACTTAGGATAGCAAGAATCCATCTGTATTCTATAGAACATGTGACACAAGGACTAAATTACACATTACCCAGGAGATCTATGACAGTTTATCCAAACTGTTGACAGCAGATAAGTGTTAACTCTTTCCTTCTATGTTATCTCCCTGAGTAAGAGTGCAATCCTATACAAGTTCAGACAGAAAAAGTCCTATACCTCACAGCATTCCCCAGCCATCACAACAGTCGTAAGGACTATTTTCTGTCCCAAAAAGGATCGTATCATAAAAAAGTGACCCCTTCTACTGTTGTTTGCCTTATGGATACAGACATTTGTATCTCTCCCTCCATCCCCTTACCATGAGACAAATGGATTTTTATTAGGAAAACTTGATAGAGATGGTGCTAGAACACCCCTCTTCCTAGTTTCAATTCTCCCCCCACCATTCACATCTGTGTTTCAGAAACAAAATTAAAGTTAAGAGAACTTAGTCTCTAAATTGCAATGCAAGGCTGTAAATATTTTCTGATCATTCTCACTGAGCCAGAATTAAAGTATAGGTTTTATTTGGCTATAATGATTTTGCATGTTTTACTGCTGCTCTATTGCCATTAAGTTATTGCCTAATTTTAATAGCTCAAATTTAAATCTTATTTTACAGCTGTATGAATATAAACTTCGGGGGTAGGCATTAGAATACATAGCACATTTTTTACAGTATTTTCACTGTACTTTAATTACAGATAACTATGTTTTCAGCATATTCTCTTTTCAAAGTAGACAGGATAAGAAAAATACATGCATAGCTAATGATGGAAGGAAATTCATTATAAACTATTTTTCTTATGCTCCTTCTTCTAGTTTCCAGCACGAGTTGGAGTTCAGGAGTCTCAACACTCCTTGGAAATGCACAAAAACCAACAGGCATTGCAGATATGTATAGTAAGTTCAGACCAGTGAAGAGGGTTTCCCCACTTAAGCACCAGCCAGAAAGTTCTGAAAATAATGAGAGTGATGATCAAAAGAACCAGAAGATGGAGTGCAAGAAAGGGAGCGATTCTCCCTCCGTGGCTCAGAATGGTGATCAGTCTCCAGATAATGGAGAGAACCTAAAAACTAAGTGTGTTGAAGCTGGAGTTTTGCTTGGTGAACTGGAGCACTATGACCTGGATATGGATGAAATTTTGGATGTGCCTTATATTAAATCAAGCCAGCAGCTTGCTGCTTTTACCAAGGCAGCTCCAGAGAAACGAATTTTGAGTGTGTACTCAACACTGAATGGTCTTAGCGGCAAGTCGTGCCCTGCAGGAAACACAGAGAAGGCACCAACAGGAACGACACAGTTTTGTGTGCTGTCCCCTGTGAAAAGCTCTCAGCTGAGAAAAGCGCAGCCCATTGTCCCCGATCAGCAGAAGCATTTAGCTGAAGAGTCAGATTTTCCCCAGCCGCTAGTTAAATGTAGTTCAGCCCATGAACCTGAAGCGCAGTCCAAGGGCTTGCTCAACAGGACGTTTGCCGATAAAATGGAGAAGACTGTGTCCCACTGTCAGTTAAGGACTTTTCATCTGCAAGCAGGAGTGGCAGAAAATAAACACGATGAACTGAACAGTAATATGAACTGGAACAGTTCTGGAGGTCCAGAAGAAAGGAATGATGATGTGAAGAAAAATAAGAGCATCTTAAATATTGTGAAAGAAGGGCAGATATCATTATTGGTAAGTTTTTGAAGAATTAAAATTTGTAAGGCATTTAGCACATGCCTTATAAGCTTTCCTTAGAGATCAGTATAAACCATGCATGGAACTTTCAATTGGGAAAATAAACATAAATTAGATATTGTGGCATCCATGAAGAATATAAAAACTCCATGGAGTTTATATTCCTAAGTATGTAATGTAAAAGATTATTGATTTTAATTTAGTAATGTTGCAGGAAGTACATGCTTTATTTCTTCTATCGTAATTAAGTGCAAATCTGCTTTTCAGAATGGTGGGGGTTCAATTTGTGCAGTGATTAGCAGATTAACTTGGTTTCTATTCAGAGGCCAATGACAGTAACAGAGGGGCTTCTGTCGTATTCTGATTATTATTCAGGAGTGTTTGCCCTAGCTTATTGCAACAGCTTTTGTGAAGAGGATCTCATACAGAGGCCCCAATTGGCCTCTGACCCACATGAAAATTTTAGTTAGTTCCAGGTTTGTGATCAGACATCATGAAAGGGCGTTTCCAAAGCAACTAGATGCAAGCTTACACAGTTGGTCTGTGGAAAACATGCAAAATATGCATTCTTCACTTTATTTATGCTTTACCTAAAGCATTTATCTGGAGCAGAACAGTGACAGATCATAAATTCAGCAACAAACACAAAGCCAGCTATTCTTTAAAATAGACTCTAGCACTTCATTGCACTGTAATTATCAAAATAGTCACCATAACAAAACAATTATTCACTTCTGTATTTCCTTTGTGTTAAGAGAAAAATGAAAATAATATTGCTTTTTCTTTATATGAATGTAGTAATCAAGAGTCACTAAGACAGTTATCTATTTGAATATCCATATCAGGTACTCATCAGTTTTCTCTCTTCTGTTGTTTCTTCTGCTATTTTGTATTCTTTTTGTTCTTATAATCATATCAGGTGTTGTCTCTTAAAACACTATTGTGATTATGCAGAAGGATTCCACTCTAGGTGGCTAATGCCTCGTAACATTTTATCCCTTGGGACAAGCTGAGGTTTCTATATTACAGTCTAGCACTATTACTGAAAAGCTGAAAAATATGTTAGTGCTAGAACTGGGAGAGAAAACTAATGGAAACATCCTGTAAAAATTGCTGTAAAGCAAATGTTAAATATGCAATCATACAGGGGAACTGGGTTTTTCTTTTTCTTTCTTGTGTGTGTGTGTTTGGTTAATCTGATGGATTAGTACACATAGGACAAAGGCACACAGTGTAGCCTTATATTGTTCTACACCATTTCCCTGAAGAACGTAGAAACCGTAGTTGCAGCGGATCAATATTCATTCATGCCTTTACCAGATCTGCCTTCATAAAAATGAGTGACATTATGCAATTAATTTTCAATCTTACATTTCACCAGTCTGAAAGGAAACTCTGTGGGTTTTTTTTTTTTTTTTTACTCCTCTAGGGTATTCCATTTATTTTTTGCCTTTGTTTGAACTATTACTGCTAACTTCAGCTGAACAGTATATTAGACAGTAGCTGTCAAGCTCTAAATCATTATTTCTGGTTTTCTGGTTATACTGCACATATTAAGGTTAGTAGAAGCTGAGGGAGCTCATTCAGTATCTATCAGACACTATTGTAGGAGCCTTTAAATGTAAGTTCAAATTTGCCTTTGCTCTGAAGAATATTTGTATGTTTTTTTTCTTAAATAAAGAACTGTATTGCATATATCTTAAATTTGCCATGTTGTATGCACACAGTAGGCTGAGATTGCATGATTTATCACATGGATCAGATGATGCAAAACATCTCTAGATGCAACTTTTCACTGTGAGTGCAGAATTATTATAACTCTGCTCATACATTGGCATTGTCCATATCTCCTGGCAACACGGTATATGTGATCAAATACTGCAAACATTGTATCAATTAATAACTGTGATGCATGAAAAAGCTAGCTCTTTTATAGTGGGTGTAATGGAAGAACACAAACACCTCAGGCATTGCCTACGGTGAAAGAATACATAAACCAAACGTGTCATTTACTGGAGTCATGGCTCGAAATATTTATTCACATGTGGCAAAGAACTTTAAATCCATATAACAAGTGAGATCATCAGTAAGGTTGGAGTGGATATGATAGAATACACAATTTGTAGGGTTTGTTTGCTTGTTTATATACTTCCCCATAGCCCAAAGGGCTGTCTGGGTGGCTTACAGTAAAAGGGTAGGAGTTTCTTTCCACCCTACCAGCTTCCATCTGGGTCAGCCATGAAATACAATGTGCAAAATACTATAATTTTGTGGTACCTCATCAATGTTTCTGAATCAGTTGTGTGTTGCCCCCCCCAATAAGTGATACACCCAGTAAAATAAAAATGACATTAATTCAATTCCTTTATTGCCAACTTAATTGGGTCTCTATATGGAATGTCTATCTGCTATTAGTAACATCTGGCTACCTAAGAGTAATTATGGGTCTCCCAGAATGGGAAATGATGTTCTTGCACAACTAGTTTTATCTTTTCTTAGCTGCACAGACAGCCTCAGCTATTGGGTGGTATAAAAAATGAAACCAGTCAGTCAATAATATTTATTGATTGACTGCTTTTAACTGTTTATATACTGCCATATACAATAAAACAGGATTAAAAACATCATCAGTACAAATTTAGAAAGCCTCACAAAATTTTAAACAGCACTAATAATCAGTGATCCATGGAAGTAGCTCCTAAATTATGGAATTATCTCCCCACCAGGTCCTGCCTGGCACCAATTTTACTATCTTTTTCATACAAGGTTAAGACTGCCTCTTTGCCTAAGCATTTACCAGCTCCAAATAGTACAGGGGGTGGAGTTTTATTGTCAGTTGTTTTTATCAGGCCTAGCAATATGGACTTGTCTTATTTATTTTGTTAAAAATATTTAAATATTAGTGTGATTTTATGACATTTTACTGTCATTTATATTTGTATTGTATTGTATCATATACCCTGCCCAGAGAGCTCTGAATATGGTGCAGAATTAAAATCAGTAAATAACATAAATAAATCCTATTTATCTAGTAGCCAAAGAAATAACAGTGTGGTGCCTTGTGACCCTTCAGGAATTCATATCTTCTAGTTGTCTGTCTCTTCCAGTTACCCCTCTAGCTTCCTTCTGTGGGAATACTGAATATGCCCTTTGAGGTTGGCCTAAGGGTCTGTTTAGCCGCACCCTTCTTATAGATACCCTGGCTCTGAGGAGTTTGGAGCTTTCAAAGTGACCACCAACACTTTGAACTGGGCCTGGAAATCGAGTGGGAGCCAGTGCAGCTATTGAACATATTCTCCTATCGACCAGTCCCTGTTAATAGCCTAGAGCTGTATTTTTGATTAACTGAAGCCCTACCCTCAACACATTGCAGTAATCCATTTGAGGATAAATGGACTGTGGTAACTGTCATTAGGCTACCACTGTCAAGACTGAATCACAGTAGGTATTTCAACCTTAGATGATGAAATGTTGGCCTAGCCAACAAGGCCAGCTATGTCTCAGCTGACAGTGAGGGGTTCAGAGCACCCCCAGATTGCACACCCAATTCTGCAAGGGGAGATCCCTTGCAAAGCAGGTTAAACACAAAACAGCCAGGAAGTTGAATCACATACTAACAATTCTCTGCATTTTCTGTGATGAGTATCAGCTATTGGCCCTCATCCCTGCTGTAGCACCCGCTCAGAACAACCACTGCCACATGTAATTTAAATGATTAAATTTAAATTAAGTTATTTGCATATTGTTAACACCTCCCCATGTTGCATATGCATATCTGCATATTAATAACAACCTGAACAAACTCCCCCAGCATTTTCATGCAGATGTTGAAGAGCTTGGGGAACAAAAGTGAGGCCGGCAGAACTTTATAACATAATATTTGCCATGGGACAGAACAGGAATTCTTCAGTAGCACCTCCTGTTACTCCAAGTAGGAATGAAAACACTGTAAAGCAGAACCTCCAACTCCCAATTGAGTCAACTAATCTAGAAAGCTACTACAATCCGTATAAGAAGCACTTGCACAAAATTCTTTATAGCTGCTAAATGGACTTTCTGTGAATTAACACCTTCTCTCACAATCTATTTTGCACAGCCCCACCTTGCCGCAGACAATCTGGACAAAATTCATGATGAAAATGGCAACAATCTTTTGCATATTGCAGCATCACAAGGACATGCAGAATGCCTGCAACATCTTACATCTCTGATGGGCGAAGACTGCTTAAATGAGCGGAACGATGAACAACTAACTCCAGTTGGCTTAGCAATAAAGGTAACATGAACCCTAAGGGCCAGATGAAATGTTTGTCAATATAGCTAGAAAACCAGCACTCATGCTAAAGATTTTAATGGTAGTATAGAGAGAGAGAGAGGTAGCAAGATCTGCTTAAACTGTACCTCTTCACCTGTGTACTCTTCTCCTACAGCCATTTGATACATTCGGTAGAAAAACACGTAAGGAAGAATTACAGAGGCATGTAAACAGGAAATATTAACAAGCCCTCAGTAAACTACTGCTTCTTCTTTCAAACTACATATTCTCCCTGCACAGATTTTTATATAGCCCAGAATTGCATTCTAGGCCCAAATTTCCATAGCACATTTAGTCTAGCCCAAATCAATACAAACCGGATGTCGTTCTCCATGTTCTTCATTAACTTATATCAAAGGACTGTATAAATATTTTTTTCAGCTGTGGTTTTCATTCATCAAATGTTAAAGTAAAATATTTTGCAATCATACTCCCTCAATAAATTCAGCCAATTTGGCAATTTTGTTTTATCCTATGAAATTCCATGGTATTATTATTTTTATTGGTTTCACTAGGTCAGGATAAATTTGAGCCATTTTATTAGATATTTCTATAAATTGTTTAAAAAATGTCTAAAATTGTCTGGAAACAAAAGGAAATTGAGTCAAACCCTACATTTCAACAAAGACCATGTGCTCATAATACATACTACAGATTACCCTACATTATCAAGGCTGAAAACAAATCCAAAAACTGCTATAAATTTCAGAATCATTTATTTGTATGACCATGTTTACAAATAACTTGCACCATTCTATAAACTACCAGAAGTGTGTCTTCATTTTTAATGGCATTTTAATCACTGTTCATGTGCTACCCATTTTGGTCCACATTCCCATCCATCTTTATGACAGAGGCAAATTATTATGATGCTGATTGGATTGCTCATAGTCTGCTTGGTGGGTTTGACATTGGAAGAAAGGGAATCCACCTTCTCCGGATTTTATTACTGGATTAGCATGATAGTGCAGAAATAGAGCACCAGAAGCTACAAGGTAGACATGTTCTATCCTAATAATCATTCATACTGCTAAGGAAAAAAGTCGCAAAACACCATGCCAGTGATAAAGACCACGATTGGGCTTTACTCTGTGTTTACAAAAGCAAATCTGATGGAAAGATTATGCACCTGCCACCCACCACAAGGTGAACTATCTCCGGTGATGACCAGTATTGCAGGAGTAGTAAATAGCCATGATCATTGAGTGGCCACCAAAGGAAAGGAGAGAATACACCTTTACTGGAGTCTCTTGCACAGTAGCATTGGAGGCAGGGACAGGATGATAAACACTGTTTGGGCTTGTAGCTGCAAAATGGCCAGCAGTGTCTGGTGCAGGCTCAAGCTGATGTGCCCAGCAAAGTGCTTATGTACGCAGCTTCCTGTTGCTGCCTGTGCTCTTGTGCAGCATCTGCTGGTAAAATGTTGAACCTTCTGTCCTTCCTTCTGTCCTTCCTTCCTTCCTTCCTGCCTTCTGGTTGCCATCCAGCAACAGGGCACTGCCACTTTCAAGCTGTTATTGTATTTCTCCTCCTCCTCTGGATATAAACCATCCACACGGAAAGATGAGGATTCAGCTCTGACTCAGGCAACATCATTTTTAATTCTGATATTCCAGAAAAAAGTACAACTACAATCAGGGTGAATTTCCCTGATTACATATCTGATGTGCCATTCAGCTTCAGCAATAGGGGATTCCACTAGGACTATAAGATGCAAGGGTGGTTAATAAATGAGATTCTATATATAATTACATATGGGGCAACTTTTGATACACTCCAGTGTTTCTTACACAGCTTCTGTTTCAATGTACTACTTCATTCAAAGCAGGAACATCTTAGGTATCAAAAAACGCCTTTGGAATATCTAATGAAAATGAACATTTATCTTTGGCTGAGCTCAGTAGTCCTGCACTTACTTGTGAGCAAGTCTCATTGAACTCAATAGGTTTACTTCTTAGCACACATACATAAGAGTGCAATGAAACATAGTTAATGTCATCTGGAAGAAAGGTCAGACCTGTAGGAAAATATGTAATACAAGAAAACACTGTGTTGTATGTTGTGAAATACAGCAAAGTTGACAGCAAGGACAATGATGAATTAAACTTCTGAATGCTTCAAGGATGGGGAAGAATAACAAAGGCACAGAAGGTTTCTTACCTTTTATACTTACCTTTCCCAGCATTTAGAAAATGTTCAAAAGTTTGTTCAGGTTTGAGCAAGAACAGAAATTCATTTGAGATTTATATTTATATTCATATCCTACATTTTTCCTGCAAGGAGTCCAAAGCAACTTACATAATTCTTTTCCTGCTTCTCCTTCTCTTCTCCATTTTATCCTTCCAACAGCCCAGTGAGCTTAAAATGGGAAGTAGATCTTAGGTCTTCTCAGTCCTACTCTAGTATTCCAACCATTATACTGATTATCCTCAAAGGAAAAAAAAATATTCTGCAAGAAGTAATTCTGACAATGTATTGGTATGCTACAGATGGGATTCACAAGTTGCATGGCCTGGGGGCAAATATCATTGTGAACTCCTGGGCATAGCTGGAGTCAGGAAGCAACAAGATCTACCTCTTAAAACACCTGAGAGTGCTGCTGAAATATGTGAGAGGGCGACTGGAACAGCTCTGGTCCAGAGTTGATACATGCTCATGACTCTGTAAGAGGTTCCCTGTCCTCCAGCTGGGAATTATTACAGCTGCCTAGCAAGTAACAACAGCATTGAGGCCATGCAGTCTCTCAAACCGTGGTAGATTTGCGGGGACTTGCTGCTATGTGCTGGTACAGGAGTGGTGAAATAGAAATGGCACTAGCACAAAAGAACTTTAAGGTAGATCTCCCTATGCTGAAGTTGGTGGCAAAACTTCCTTTTATTTTCATTGAACTGGACTGCAACTACCTTATGGGGAAATCAATGCCCCAAGGAACCCAATATCTTAGGATGCTGGTGTCTTTCTGGAAGTTCTGTTTTTCATTTCGGTAACAGAAATCGGTGCCTTGGTCTTACTTGCTAATACATTTATCACATACTCTAGAAGATCCAAAGGATCTTAAAGCACAGTTCCTTTCATGATTACTTAAAAGGAAGTCTCACTGTATTCACTGGGGTTTATGCTCAGTTATATGTGCACAGCATTCCAGATTACTGTTGCAGTACAAGTCTAGTGAGAAGTAGCCCTCATTGAGTTCAGTGGGACATGCTATAGAACCTTCTGTTCTGAAGAAGGCAACACATGCCTAGGTTGCCTTGCAAATGCTGTTATTCAAATTTCTTATTTTATTAATTGTTCTGCCTAGCCAACTTCATACTATACCTCTTGTCTTCTGTTGCCCCTTCTCCCTCTTCATTTTATTATGTAAAATAATCTTTCATTTATAAACTATAGAAGGAATATAGTATTAAAATTATGAATTAGGATCTCTGAAATAAACCAATATTTACAATATAGTTCATTCAGAATTTATATGAATTTGAAAAGGCATGTTATTCAGAAAACACTGCTGCTATATTCAAGGCTATTTTAATACAAATGAGGCTTGTGCAGCAGAAATTACTAATAAATTGTAAACAGGCCTGTAGTCACAGCCATTACTGTAATCAGCAGATACAAAAGGAGCCTGGTGTACTGATGTATTGTTATTACTATTATTATTTGAATGAGAAATATGTATTTGCAGGGGCTGGTATACTTTAAATTAAGGATAATTGTGAAAAAATATTTAACATTTTAGAATGGTCAGCTGGAGTGTGTTCGGTGGATGGTGAGTGAAACAGAAGCCATTGCAGAATTGAGTTGTTCAAAAGATCACCCAAGCCTTATTCACTATGCAGCTTGCTATGGACAGGTACAGTTGATTTTGCATTATTGTTTCAATGCTGGATAGAATGCTCAAGTTCAAGTTGCTTGTATTTTTATATAGAAGCTTTAAAATTTAAACTTGTGCAAAACATTAATAGATACTTTCTTAATATAGTGAGTTGAATTGCACTTAATCTACTGTACTTGCAAGTCTTGGGATAACAAATATGGAATAATTCTAACACACAAGTATTTGTAAGACACTTTTAAACTTATTTGAAAGTTACTCATGCAAAAGATAACCCAAGTAAACACCAGACTTGGCTGCAATGCAAAGGAAATATTTTTACAAGGAAGAAGTGTTTTTGAATGCATTCAACACACAATTATTTCCTCTAGCACTTGGCACACATGGTGTGTGTTTTTTCAGTAGATACATCCTATATGGGGAAAGCAAAAGCATTAAATAAAAGGAAGAAGCCAAAAAATAGGTCCATTGAACTCAATGTTGTCCTGCACTGTTTATACAGAATGCTTTGTTCTTGAGAAATCTTTACAGATTTTACATGCTTGAGATCCATGTCTGTCTTCAGAAATATCCTGGAACACATACACACACCCATGGTAAATGAGCCAACTGAATCATTGCCAAGTGGTGAAAGCAGGAAGGGGTAGAGATCAAGCATATCTGTGGATCTTTAGACTGTGAATCTAGTTAATAATAACCTTTGTCAAACAAGCAGACCGTCCAAATACATCTCTAATATAACTGGTCAGGGGCAAAAATAAAAACATTGCAACGCTACCTCAAACTCCAACAGGTGTATTTGTGTTCAAGGTTTCAGACAACCAGCCATGCTCCCTCCTTAGGATCCTCAATTTTATCCTTACTGCTAGCATTCCATTTCTTTTACAGCTGAAACTAATTATTGCTTGGCTATTAAAAATGTTCAGGCCTCATTAAGCTAGGTGTGCCAATTGGAGGGGTTGGAATGCTGCCCGCTTAGCTTTTTAAAAAACATTGTCTCACATGTGCAAACATCAGATCTCCCTCGAACATGCTGACAACCCTCTTTTATTTCTCAATGGCCCCAGTTTGGCTCCATTTTTAATACAAAATGATAATTTAAGAATGCAGAATATTGGTTATATATTATTATTATTAGGAACAACATATTTAAATATATGCTTGAGATTAAGTATTTATTAATTCCAGGCAATTCTGGATGAGGAAGACCATTTCAGTGTAGCTTCCAACCTAGTTACAGAATTGAGTCTGGTTTGGTCACCTTAGTGAATGATCTATGCAAGGAACTAGACAGGGGTGGTGAGGTCCCAGTTCATTTCACTCTTGGTGACTTACTATTAAACATGGCATCCTTATGGTTGTCTCACTAGGATCTCCCTGGAGACGCTGTCCTACAGGGCTCCAGGACTTCTTGAAGGAATGACCTTAAAAGGTGTTGCTATAGAATTCCTGTTCAGTTCTTAGCTGTTTGCCTACAGTGCCCCCCAGGATTCCATCTTGTCCCCCATGCTATTTTACATGTAAATAAAACCACTGAATATTTGGAGTTTGGTGCCAGTAGTATATGCAACTCTGCCTCGCCTTACCGTCCAAATCCACGGTAGCTTCTCTGGTTCTAAACCAGTATCAATTTCAGTAATGGACTGGAGAAATGCCAACTTACTGAAGCTTAATTTCGACAAGGCAGAATTGTTCCTGCTTAGTTGCAAGGCAGATCATTGAGTAAGGACTGAAACTACATTGGCTGAGATTGCACTCCTCTTGCTGTTTGGGTGTATGTTTTTGTTACATATTACATTTTTTTATCTTAAAAACTACTTGGTGGCTTACTTTACTATCAAGCATGGTATCCTTCTGGTAGTCTCCTCTATAACACTGTGATCCCAATACTTACTTACCCTCCCTTTCCACATTTTTATTTTGAATATTTAAATGTATTTCTTGGGCTATCTGCTTCTTACTAATTACTATGCTTTCATTTTTAAACTGTAGTCATTATACGTTAGTGACTTTATCAAGTAAACTTGATAGATTATCAGCAAATACATCTACATACCTGGAATACAGATACAAATAAATGGTGCAAGTATATATTTGTGTCCTAGTTCTCTTCATATTTCTATAGCCTCTGAGATCTCTTTAATTTGCATTGCAGTTTTTTTGCTATCAGTACACACTTCTGATCCAATTAATGTCTTTATCAAAAGCTTTCTCTTCTGAATCCAAATTGTGTGTCTCTTCCAACATTTCATTTTTCATCTAAATTCTACACTGCATTATTTTAAAGAAAATCTTAAACAAATGGTGCATCAAACTCACTGTAATCACTACAACCTTTACTATTTTCCTTTTTGTTATGTAATTCAAAGTGAACCTAACCAAATTTCAGGTCCCAGTTCTGTAGATTTGGTTGAGCAACTCTACTAAAACATTTAAATCACCCTCCTCTATGAACTTTAATAGTACTGTGGAAACATCTCTTCTTTGAGTTTTGCTGTTTCTTATTAGTTATGTTGAATTCCAAATGTTGGTTTTCATAGTTCTATCCAATATTGCCTTCTAGCACAATAAATTATGATATAATACCTTCAAACAACGCTTTAATATAACCACTCCATATTACAGTTTTCCCTTAACATCATATATCAGAGAATTATTCCTGTAATGTACAATGTTATTTTTAAATAAAATTTTGATTTCCTTGATCTTCTTATATACAGTGAAAGGATCTGGGGTCATCTACTATTAAAACTATTTTTTTAGTGGTGCCTGATTGATTGATTGATTGATTGATTTAAGGCACAGTTTAGTTTAATAATAATAAATTGTAGTACATGTATTATTGTTAAACTAAAATTTAGTATATTTATTTTAATAAATTAACATAATAAATTAATTCAGTAACACATGTTGCAGCCCTATGAATTATATCCATGGCTATCTTCAACTATAGTGTAAAGAATAAATTTTTTCCTGAGGGAAACAGCTACTAGTAATGTTAGTGTTAAAGTAGTGTCAGTATTAACATTGTTCCTTTTTGTGGCATTCATAGAAAGATTTATTGCAGTGACACTAATCTCATTTTCTTATTACCATGAATGTGCAACTTATACCGGATGAAAATAATAGTTATTCCACACTTCAGCACCTTGGTTTCACCTACTTCAGTCATGATTTCATGTTTTAGCAATGTGTGGCTAATATGAGAACCTACAAATAATACTAAGTCATCTTAAAATATTTTTCTAGCATCTAGAATCCAGTTAAAATTGCTCAGCTTTTCCACATTTGACATTATGGTGTCTAAAAACTGCATGCTACTTTCTCAGTTGTATTAATTTATGTTCATTTCATCCATATCAAAGCACAGTTATCATCATAGGAGTCAAAGGGCTTTTTACAGAAACAAACTAGAACAAAAAGATAGTAGCAATGAGAAGGTGTGTGGAAACAAAGACCTAGGAAGTATATGACAATACAGGAGGCAAAATATGCCTCTTGACCTTTCAGGAGTCTTCCATGGGGTAAACAGTTAATGGACAAAAACAAAAACCAATAATGCAAAACTTCCTCAATTAGTTCAGCATATGCAATATACCCCATGAAGAACCCTCCCCCCCAATTGCCCATGATCCTCCAGTATGTTGCTGAGTTCCTTTGATCCCCAGCTCTTACCCTTCACTTGGCTTTGCACTTCTTGATTCAGTTCATCCAAGCCATCATGGGAGACATACTGGCCAATCCTGCGCCTGTTATTCATTGAGCAGTATGTCTCCCATAATGGTTTTGGGATTACTGCTGTATAAAGAAGTTGTAGCAGCATGAGAATATTAACGGACTTCCCTTTAACTGAAAGGACTTTGTACAGTATCTAAAATGAACTATCGTGAAAAATAGAAACAGTACATCTATCAGTTCATTGCACAACTACAATATAAATACATTATGTTATACATGTACATATCACATGATTATAATTGTTGATATCTTCTACATATATTTGTTATAACATGAAAAATGCTTTATTTTCTCCAAAGGAGAAAATCCTTCTATGGCTTCTTCAGTTTATGCAAGAACAAGGTATTTCTTTGGATGAAGTTGATCAAGATGGTAATAGTGCTGTCCATGTGGCTGCCCAGCGTGGGTACCTGGGATGTATACAGGTAAAACAATACTACTATATTTATTTCAGATAGATGTCCTAAAAGAGCTATTCAAAATAATATTTTTACATGGTTATTTAAGATCATTTAGAGTTTGCTTTACACAGTACACCCAATGCTCCAGACATTTGGAAGCCCCCCAGAACAGAATGGGACAGGGTATGGGAGCAGAAAGAAAAAAGGGAATGTCCAAAATACTCTTTTCTGCTTATGTTTATTAAAATTTCCAGTGGATTAAAAACTTTCCGTGAACAAAATGACAGCTTTTGATACAACCCATCATTTAGTTTAACAAGTACAGGCTTAAATCCCTAAAACAAAGGAAAACAAACCAGGCAAAACCACTATCTTGCATTGGAACAATGTCTCTTGATGTAGGAATGGGAAGAATGGAATGAACAATGTCGTACAGAAGAACTGTAATGCAGTCCTAATGGGATTGTTCATTAGACAGAAGCTGCCAAGTTCACAGGTTTCCGAAAATCCTATGCCCTGCTTGGCTGCCCTGGCAGGACAGGAGAAGGAAGAAGGCAACTTCCATTCCTCTCAAAACAAGCAAACAAAAAACTGGCAGACTCGTCTCAGGGGTCTGTCTAGTTCACTTACTGCTGGTGGGTAGAGACAGACAAGAGATAGGTCATAGAATTCTACAGATCCTGGCCTCCCTCCCTTCTCCATTGCATGCTCATCTGGACAAGGCACTCAGCTAGCCATATTTGCTCATGCATAATTTAACGTGGCACAGTATATGCATATACCTTTCATGTATGTATGGTACATAGCTTGCATATTATTTTAATTTATGCATTCACAGAATGTATGTCAAAATAGACTTTAAATCTGTGTTTAGCATCTGTTTTCCCCATTGTTATTTTACAAGTTCAGAGCTCCCAATTTCTAGCATCAGGGATATGAGGCTTTTTAAGATGTATACTTTAACATCTGGCTCAAGCCCCTTGTGTTTACTCCAGAATGACACTGAACAAAAATATAGCTCCTGGACATAGATTTAAAGTAGTGACTGTTTTGGCCCTCATAGAAGTGAAGAGGGCTTTTTAAGGCCATCTAACCCGTCACCCAGCTTGGTGCAGGAAGCCTGGAGACAGAGCTTTCTTTCCCCCTGCCTGAAGAGCCCACCACTCTTCATTCATTCATATCTGAGTGCAAAAAATAAACCCTTGTAAAAGTCAGTCCTTAGAGTGACTTTGAAGAACATTATGAAATACATGAAGGGACTGGAAAGGTGAGGGGAATGCCCGGAATGTATTATGTTCACACAAGGAGAATCATTTATCTCTCTGATGGTAAGGTATAAAAAGCATTCATGCCACAAGAGCTCATACATTTTTCTTCAGGGAAAACATGTCACTTGGTATTTCAGACATTCTACAGGATATGCATGGGGTCCACCCATCACTTTTGGAAGCATCCAGAAGTGCTCTATGAATAGACCTTAATGTGAAAATTTTATTTTCATCTTAAATACCATTGTTTATTCTGCAATTTAGTAACCTATAAATGATAGCTGCACTAGTACAATCTCTGTACTTTTCAACAGAAACTACAAAGGACATTTTTTAAAAAATGCATTGAGAAACTATTCAAACTTTTAAAATGACATGCTAGACTTGCTAGGGGGTTTCCAACACACAAGGACCTTTCACAGTCGTATAATGAACTCTATAGAGAACTAGATTTACAGTCATGCAGTCAGCCCTGAGTCTGTCACACTTCTTAAAAGCAAATTCCCTCAGGTGATCTAGTTTCATATAGGCGCTATGATTAAGTAATTCCTAAAAATTATAACACAATGACTTTGGAACTTCTGAAGTCAGCCATAGATTGCACACAATTTTCTTTCACAGTTGTAGTTATTTACATAACTAAGAAAGTAATGCTGCATGCATTCTACTGAGAAGCAGGTCCCACCGAGGTCAACAGGACTTGCTTCCTGGTAAATGTGCCTGGATTGCAGCCTTAATTTCTGAGCTGTAGTGTCTCTCTGTGGTGGCACGGTCATCAATTGGTAAGCCTATCACATGATCCATATTAGCTCAACTAGTAGAGAAGCCAGATCTGATGTGATAGCATCATTCCATGAAATTTGTTTACTGGGTGAAATAAAAGATTATGTTCATGGGGAAATGAAAGTTAAGCTCCTGTATCCATGTCAAAACATCTGAACATAATCAGCTTGAAGATACCTATGATACCTTCTTGTTAACTCCTATTGCTTTACACTTTGGCATCCCCATCTCTGCTCTCACTTGCGGGAGCACTCAGCAGTCTGTTTGTCAAGCGTTAGCCACCTTACTCTTTTGTGCATACAGCTCCTTTGCTCGAGCTATGGGCCTTTACCCTCAGGCCCCACACTCTGGTCCTTATATCTCCCTCAGGTCTCCTCCTGCCTGCCTCACCTCCAAGATTCACAGAAGACACTCGGCCTCTTTTCCTCAGGCTCCCCTTCCTAATCCCTCAGAGACACACCCACACTCGCTCAGGACACTCCCCTCACACCATAAGCCTTTGGGTGCAACAGCCCTGGGATAACTTGGGTAATGACATTCAGTTATTTTCCTTGTTGTCACTCCTCCTTCCTACTCCCAAAGCATTCTCAAAGATACATCTTCTTTCTCTTAGTCGCTCACTCACACACTCCAGGTTAACAGTAACGTTAAACATGCATTTATTCTTACAGAAAGAAACATGGAATACGTCCAGCTGCAGATTCCTTTTGGCCCCCCTGGTGATTCTGAGTGTTCTCTTAATGTTTTCCCATTTCTCCCCAAATCCCAAATGGCAGGGAAAGGGCCTCTCACAGCTGTGATTGATAGTAAAAGTGGCACTGTTCAGACCCTGTGACTAGCTCTGCCCTCTGAGGGAATAGGAGGCAGAACTTCAACTTTCTGTCTCAGCTCCATCCTCATAAAATTATTTATGGAGTGCTAACAGTAGGAGCATATGAGTTCCCCCACTAGATCAGACCAACAGTCTATCTCAGATTCTGTTTTCAAAAATTATCATCCTGATGACCCAACATGATAGTCCCCCCAGGATCTATGAAAAACATGCCTAGGAGTACAAGGAAGGGTTTAGCTTAGTGCTGAAACATTAACAAGGTTGGTGCCAGGTGGAGCTCATTAGGGAGGGTATTCACAATCACCACCAAGAAGGCCTTCATCTTTGTTGCCATTCTGTTAACCTTCCTTAGAAGAGGCACTGGGAGAAGAGCTTTAGCAATTTTAGTGCACATGAAGATTCATAAATAGTAGTGTTGCACAGTAGTTAGAGTGTTGGACAGGGACTCAGGATATCCAGAATCTCACACTTATGGGGCCATGAAGTCAACTGTGTGACTTTCAACCAGGCACAGACTCTCAGCCTGATCCACCTCACAGGTTTGTTCTTGTGAGTTTAAAACAAAGAAAAACTTGTAAGCTCCTTTTGGATTGTTTGCAAGAAAAGAAAAAAAGTGGGATATACATATAATGTAAAAATGTAATAATAATGAAGTACTTTCTGTCCATATTGAGCCCAGCACTTTTCAAGCTAATAGTTGCTCTTTATGTACATACGTATTTTTAGACTCTGGTGGAGTATGGAGCAAACGTCACTATGCAAAACCATGCTGGAGAAAAACCTTCCCAAAGTGCTGAGCGGAATGGACACACTATGTGTTCACGTTATTTGGTCGTAGTGGAGACGTGCATGTCATTGGCATCCCAGGTTGTGAAGTTAACAAAGCAACTGAAAGAGTAAGTTTCCATTTAGAATATTGAGACTCCAGGTTTTTTCGTCTATTTTGCTTGCTTTATTTATTTTATTTTATTTTTTCTTTATTGGTTCTTTTATCACACTTCATGTCACAAATGTGTGATACACATGTCCATGTGAAAAACATTGTAACATTTTAGTAGATGATGTACCCTAATAAACAGCGGACACACATATGAGACCTATAGCCAACTGTATGCCTACTATGTGTTTTAAATGTCCTCTTCAAACATTACGCAATGTTCTCCTTGTGACACCTGGTGGGCATGCTGAAAACATATCCCCTGCATAAACTTTGAAACAGATTTGAGTATTCAGCTGCCCTGGGGAAGGAAGAAGGCCTCCAAGAACATTCCCTTTGCAAGGCCTGAAAATTGTACAAGAGACCAATCCTTTGCAACAGGGACTTTTGTAAATGTATCACATGTATTAAAATGTTGGTTATACAATAGTTGTTGATAAAAGGCATTTCTTTTCTGCATTCCTTCTATTCAGACATTTTCTTATCTGTTTAGTTCACCATTTCCTTTCTTTGGACATTGCATTACCAATGTGCTAAAAATTTAAGTTTCATGAATAACCGCTAGCCAATTACTCTCTTTGTAACCTCCTTTTCAGTCCCCCACCCCAATAGTCTGCAGTTACACTCAAAGAAATAGATCCAACATTAATTTATAATGATTGGAGAAATGCTACAACTCCCTTCCTCTTGCCCTGAATCCTACCATTCCTTCCAGTTCACTTTCCCAAGGAAGGAAGTAGTGTGGACTGGTTCTCCAGGTCTGACTTCTGCTGCCTTTTTAGATGCAGTTTCTTAGACGAGGAGGTAGTTCCAGTAGCTCAAGTATGTGGTGTAGCCAGACAACCAAAAAGGAAAGGTGGTCCTAATAGGACAGGAAGGCTGCTGCTGGAAAAAGAGGAACTGTTGTTCCTGGACAATTGGCTCATACTGTCAAACTTGGTTCCATCGATGAATGACCTGGTTGAAGTTATTGGTTTCGCAAACTCTGAAAGGTGAGAGGCATATGTGTCTATATGCATTTGTGCACAGACATTGTGATTACTAGATAAATGGTTTCTCAGGTGACTTTATCTTCCATTTAATAACCCTGTTTACATTTTAAGACAATGTTCCTGTCATAAAACAGTTTAGATTAATAGGAGAAATCTAGAACATGCTGGATCAGACCAAAGGTCCATTTGGTCCAGGACTCTGTACACACGGTGGCAAGCTACAGGATCACTCAAGCAGGATGGGTGCCCAGTCTCCATCTGCCCATGCTCCTCAGCAACTGCCCAAGTATGCTACCTCTGGTGAAGGAGGTAGTATATAGCCTGCAAGGCTAGTATCCACTGATATATTCATATTCCCTCAGTAGCCACTGAATATTCATATTCCCTCATGAATATGTCCAACTTCTTTTTAAAGTCATCCAAATTGGTGGCCATCACCACTTCCATTGCAGTGAATCCCATAGTTTAACTATTATGTTGTGTGACAAAGTGAAAATCTTTGTTTGTCTTAAACCTCCACTGATCAGTTTCATGGGACTCCAGGCTCAAGTGTTTCTCCACACCATACATTATCTTAAACACCTCTGTCATGTCTCTAATGCTGGGAACAATAGATGGCAAAAGAAGAAGGGGACGGCAGAGGATTTGGTGGCTAGATGGAGTCACTGAAGCAGTTGGTGTGAGCTTGAGTGGACTCCGAGGGATGGTGGAGGACAGGAAGGCCTGGAGGAATGTTGTCCATGGGGTCGCGATGGGTCGGACACAACTTCGCAACTAACAACAACAACAACATCATGTCTCTCCTTTCTAGACTAAGCAGTACAGTTGTTGTAGCAGCTCCTCATAGGGGAGTTGCTCCAGCCCCCTGTTCATTTTTGTTGCCTATCTCTTATCTCTCTTGTCCTTTTTCAGGTAACATGATCAGGACTGAACACAATATTCTGAGTGCAGTCATGCCAGAGCTTTGCATAAGTGGAGTGAGATTTTAGCAGTTCTGTTTCTGTTCCATTCCTAATTATGTCTAGCATGGAGTTTGCCTTTTTCACACCGGCTGTGCACTGAGCTGCTGTTTTCATCAAGCTGTCCGCTACTGCCCCAAGATCCCTTTTTTGCTCAATCATGGCTTGCTCATATCCCATCAGTATATACTTTAAGTTGGGATTTTTTGCCCCAACATGCATTACTTTACACTGGCTTATATTGAACTGCATTTGCCATTTTGATGCTCATTCTTGAGGCTTGGAGAGGTCCTTTTGGAGCTTCTCACAATCTCTTTTGGTTTTAATACTTTAGTGGGACAATACTTCCCCTTACAGAAGCCATGCTGATTTTTTTTTTAAAAAAAGCAGGGCTTTCCCCTCTGTATGCTTACTGATGATGCCTTTAATAATTCTCTCAAGCAGTTTACCCAGAATAGATGTTAAGCTAAATGGCCCGTAATTTCCTAGATCGCCACTGGATCTCTTAAAAAAAATTAGGCCATTCTCCAGTCCTCTAGTACAAAGGCTGATTTTAAGGACATATTCAATATTTGGTAAGAAGGTCAGCCGTTTCATGTTTGAGTTATTTGAGAACTCCAGGATGGATAACATCTAGGCAAGGAGACTTGCTCATTCTCAGTTTGTCAGTAAGGCTGAGAATGTCATCTTTTGCCAGCTTCTACTATCTGCCTTAATTCCTCTGACTCCCATCCAGAATACATAAAGTCAGGGGCAGGTACCTGTTCTTTATCCTCTGCTATGAAGGCTAATGAAAATAATTCATTCAGCTTCTCTGTGATCTCGTCCTCCTTTAGTGCTTCTTTAATCCCATTATCACCCAGTGGTCCAATTGCTTCCTTAACCGCTTCCTTTCTTTTGATAGATTTAAATAATTCTTTATTGTTTGCCTTGATGTTGTTTGTGATGTGTTCCTCAAAATGTTTCTTTGCTTCTCTGATTAGCTGCTTGTATCTCTCTTGTGCAACCCGGTGTTCTCTTCTTTTCATTTGGGCAAGATTTCCATTTTTTGAAAGACGCTTTCTTCCTAATACTTTCCTGACTTCTGTGCATTAACCATGCTGATGATTTCCTGGACTTTCTGCTACCTTTTCTCAATTGCATACTATCTGTGCATCTATTACAGTGTTTTGGAGAAGTCTCCAAGTGCTCTGAAGCAATTTAATATGATCCCCCTCTTCAGATTCTTCTTTACCAATTCCCTCTTTTGAGAAGTTTTTGCATTTGAAGTCAAACACAACTGTATGCAACCTCCTTGACAGTCTTCCACCTAACTGTATATTAAATCTGATACCAGTGTGGTCACTGTTACCTAAAGGCTCAACAACATTTACATCCTGCACTGTGTCCTAGTCAACTCCACCTAGGGCTAAATCCAGGATTGCCTCCTTTCTGTTTGGTTCCACAACAAACCACTTCAGGACACAGTTGTGTAGGACATCAAGAGCTTTAACCTTTTGTATGTTTATCCAGGTGGTGTGTGAGTAGTTGAAGGCACCTTTTATTACAGCAATGCCTTTGTTGGAAGCCTCCCAGATTTCATTTCCCATGTCAAGATCACCTCTAGAGCAGTGGTTTTCAACCACTGGTCCGGGGACTGGCACCAGTCTGTAGGAGATTTCCTGCCAGTTCGGGGCGGTGCGTGGGAGCACGCATCCTGCTCACTGCAGACTGGCAGAGGGGCTGGCTATGCTGCTCCATCTCATCCTCAGATGTCATCGCATGGGGGGTGGCATTGCTGCTGGGGGACCAGGGAGGAGAGACCCTGCTTGCTGGGAGCCAGCTGGGAGCCACGCCACACTGATTTCAATATTATGTTCTTCTGTTGGCATTTTTTGTTGCTCGGTTTCTGGTTGTTTTGGAGAATTTTCATTTTTTGGATATTGTGTTTAGAAACTAATTCACAGAATACGGTATCATGTGTATGGTGCTTTCTGTTTCTGCCTCAATGGTTCCCAAGGTGGTTTTCTTGTTTTCACCAGTACCCAGCTGTGGAAAGGTTGAAAACCACTGACCTAGAGCGTTCTGGTCTGGAGGATGATAGCATATTTGCATGAGTAAATTAGTTTTAGAGCCAGGGATTTTCATCCATAGTCCTTCTGTGGAAGCGTCTTCACACTTTAAATTTTCAAGCCCATAGACTATACATTCTCTTTAACATACAGGGCAACACCTCCTCTGTTTTGCTCTGCCCTGTCTTTCCTGTACAGTTTATATCCAGAGGTGACCATATCCCATTGTTTATCTCTGCTTCAGCAGGTGTCTCAATGCCAACTATATCCAGCTTTTCTCTTATCGCCATGCACTCCAGCTCTCCTATTTTGGCCCTAAGACTTCTAGTACTTGCATAGAAACAACTAAACACAGTGTCCCCCTCTTTCTATTTACATTTGTTGTCCCGGCACTTTGTCCTCTCTAACTGAACATCATGGCTTGCCATAACCATGTTGCAAATTTCCTCCCCTGCTGAACCTGGGCAATTTGAAACTCTCTCCCTTTCATCCACTAAAGTTGAATTGATCTGAATCAGATGCTTCCTAGCTCCTGTCAGCTTTCCCCAAGAATTCGGTTTAAAAGCTGCTCTGCCACCTTTTTAATGTTATGCACCAGCAGTCTGGTTCTATTCTGGTTCAAGTGAAGCCCATCCCTTCTGTATAGGCCTGGTTTGTCCCAAAAGTTTCTAACAAAACCAAAAGCCTCCTCATTACACCACCACTCTATCCACACACTGGGACTCCTTATTCATGTCTGGCTGGCTGGCCCTGCACACGGAACTGGTAGCATTTTGGAGAAAGCCACCTTCGTAGTCCCGAATTTCAGCCTTCTACTGAGCAGCCTGAATTTGGCTTCCAGGACCTCATGACTGCATCTTCCAAAATCATTGGTACCAACATGGACCATGACCACTGACTCCGTCTCCACACAATATACAAGGTTATCTCAGTGTCACATGATACCTGTAAACTTCA